TGAGTGACCTCGGCTCCTATCAAAGGACATGGAGAAGTGGCCTGAGTGGCACAGCTCCTGCATTGCAAGTAACTTGTCAGAGAACATTCCTTCTCATCCCAAAGAGCATTTAAAGACAAACTGCCATTCAGGTCTTTCAAAGAGAAAGAAAAAGTGCTTTACAGAGGCATCCAGAGAGATTCTCGAACAGATCAAAGTCACACTTCACACTTCAGAACCTCAAGTTCTTGTTTTGCCAGGGAATAAGATGGCAAAGGACGCTCAGGGATCCCTGGGGATTTAGGAACTAAGATCAAAGACCTAGGTTACAGTTGTCATTAACATCTATCAGCATGGTAGTATCACTTCTGGGCTTGTATCAAGTGTTTCCTGGGGTTTCAGAAACATTCACAATCTTTGGCAAAAGGACTCAAAAATACTATAATCTTGAGAGATTTGGTATTTTCATTTAAGAAAAAAACACCAAAAAAAATTCACTTGTTTCAGAAGCAAAATGTTCCTTTTAAAAAGCTGTGAAAAGGAAGGATATCCTTGAAGGAGAAAGGGCATTTTATTCATATCCAGTACAGAATTTTCGGATATTGGATTTCCTTCAAGCTCACAGAAATTTAAAAGGAGCAAAGGAGAGGTGTGGAAGTTAAGGAACAATGGAGACTCAACCACCAAACAAATTATTGCTAAACTAAATATCTCTTCAAAGATGTACTGGAGGACTTGACAAATGTTAGCTGGCATTTATCAGCAATCAGTAAATTTACCTTCACTTTTCACTGGCATCTGATAAACCTCCAAAGTTTCCTTCAGACAACTCAGACTTGCAGCATCTGAGATGACCAACATCACACCATCATCCTCTGCAGTGGCATCCAGTTTACACATGCAACTCTTAATGGACCCTTTCCTTCTCACACTGGTGTTTCTGAAGAGTTTCCAGATTGTTTTCACTCCACTATTACCGTAGCAAGCTTTTCTCCAAATTCCTGTAATTTGCAAAGTGGGGTGTCAGAGTTCTGAGCACACATAGCTTTGAATACAGCACTGTTCCACCACGCTGCAAACTTTCCACATTTACAAGATGGGAATTTAGGCCCTGGTCCAATACCCACTGCAGGCACTGAAAAGACTTCTATTGCTGTAAATGGAGCTTGGAAGGAGGCCTTCTTTAAAAATTTTTAATGTGTCCAAAATTTACTTTTCAACAGATAATTTTCCCCTTGTTATTACTCCCAAATCGACCAGTGAGCTTGAATCGACTTTGAATAAAACCATTATTTTCTCATTTTCAGATTTTTTTTTTTCAGCTTTCCTCAATCAACTGGCATATCTGAGATTCAGTTTTAACAACATAAAACTTCTCCCTGACAAGGGACACCCTGGTCACTGTGGCCATTCACGGACCTGGAGGTGATTCAGAGCAGTGATTCTGCTCCACAGATTCCACCCCCAACTGCAAAGACAGGACAAAGCTGACAAATTCATATTAAGGACATGAATGGAAGTCCACTGAGGAGATCACACCAGTTTTCAAGGGCATCATTAGGGTTCCTCTGGGAAAAGAGAGAGGTAGCAAGTGGCCTCCATCACCTGGGCCTCCCAGGCAAGGACTCCTCCAGCTGGCAGAGCAGAACAGCTCCAGGAGCAGCAGGGATCTCTCCCACTCTCCCTAAGGCACAGGTCTGGTTCATGGAAGAGGAGATTTGTCCCTTCTTGACTTCAGCTGGTCCTGAAAATGCCTGGCCCAGCTTTGTGCCCTGCTGCCCAGTTCAGCTGCATCCCCCAGGGGGGTCCTGAGCCCCCAGCACACGGTGCTGGTGCTGAGCCTGGACACCCCCTCCCTTCTGTGGCTCAGGAGGAGACCTGGCCAGGGCTGGGGAGGGGTTTCTTTGCCAGTGTCCCAGTTCCATGTTTGCTTCACCACTCAGTGAGCTTTTGGGGCAGTGGAAGGGACCTCAAAGAAGGGCAGGGATGTTCTGCCATAACCAGGAGTCTGCACACAAAGGGCTCTGCTGCGTCACAACCTCCATACCATGCCTAACACCTCCTAAAAATGCAGCACTCTGGCTTTCTGTCAAGGGCCTGAGATGTACTTACAAGGCACACAAAAGCAAATTCTTCTTACCCTCACATTTGCAAAAGCCAAGCCCAGTTAAATCCTCACTAAATTCTCTTTTATACCTTGTTTAAGCGTATTAAGCAGCTCCATCTAATTGTTCCTGCATGTAACCCAGGAGAACATCTTGTAATTAGGTCATTACCACACATGGCCCAGTAACCTGAAGATGGAGCTCGTTTTAAAAAGTAGCAGAGTTGTTATTACCATTATCAGCCTTCAGACCTGCCCGAATTAAAGTGCCTCACAAAAACACAGAGAATTCCCAAAGGCGTCTCCTCCCCATTTCACACGATGTGTCCACCAAGCACTGAGACCAAAATTAACCCAAGGCAGGTTACAGGGTGTAATCACATGGATTTTCAGGAAGATTCCCAGAGTTCCTGTGCCAAGATATTACCAACCTTCTCACAGCCACTGGTAGCAAATTAACACCTAATCCTGAGAAAGTACAAACCCAAGGAATGGGCCACTGTTACAAAGCATTTCTTTCAGCCTCCCATAATGTCAGAACTTGCCTTCAGTCAACTCTTAAATAAAGAGATGCCCACTGTAATTCCAGACAGGTCAATGTGTCAGCGCCACTGAACCAGGACAGAAAAAGCAACTTCTTTACAGAGTTGTTCTTGTGACAACTCCTTCTTTCTCCTCCCCCCCCCCAAAAAAAGACCTTCTGCAGGCCTTCAGTGCATTTGTAACGTGCATTTATCTACTCCCCAAATCCACTTATTCTGAAATATCCCTCCAGCATCCAAAACTGGGCAAGTAAAAAGGTGGATCAGAAATCCCATCAGTCCCAACCCCAATCACTTGAGTGTTCCCTGGATCTTACCCTCTGCTTTTGGCAGGATTTCAGCTCCACAGACAACACAATAAAGTCCTTTCTTGCAGGGCTGGTTGTTGTGTGTTTCCTTCTAACGAGGCAATGCACAAATGCATGTAAATACTAGTTTGGGTATAGCAACCATGAAGCATTTAAACATAAATACAATTAAAAATATCAGAACTGCTTCACAGAAATACATTACTTGAAATACTCAATGTATTTGAATTGATCATTTTAACTAGATAATAATTGAAATACACAGTCTGCTAAACATGCTTCACCTCACTAAATAGAAACACTGTCATACAAAATATGAGGTGTTTTACAGCCTGTAACACTCCAGGCTATCAATTGGTTTGGAATTTTGCATAGGATGAGAGGTGCCTTTGTGCTTCCCACCAGAAACAAAGGTATCTATTGAGGGTGTAAAGGGAGGCCTCCAGCAAACCATGCAGAGCACGAAGAAACTGCTTCACCTGGATGATTTCATTGGAGATATTATAAAATAAATCACTCTTATCTCCCCTTCCCACTGCACAGCAGCCCCTGGAGCAGGTCCTTTATCCCATGTCTGGGGTACCTTTGTGTCCCGGCTGGAGCCACTCGGCCTGACCGGAGCTTTTCTTCTCCTGCATTTCCTCCGGACTTTCAATCCTTGAACAAAGTTGAGATTTTATTATTATTATTTTAGGCAGTAGAGATTACTACTTCACTATTAGATCAGAGGAGGAGAGGAACTTTCAATCATTTTTTAATAGATTTGAGCAGTTCAAGTAAATGATTCTGGAACAGTCGGTACCTTGACTTCTCTTTGCAGCTTGGGCAGCCTTTGATTCTGGGAATCACCATAAATACATTAATTATAAAGAACATTCTTACCACTAACACACCAGTTATCAGATATAAAGACAAATTAAGAGAGAATTTACAGTTTTTACAAGAGTCCACCCATTACCCCCCAAACCCAGCAGTAACACAAAGGATTATTGTCCATCAGTTGTCCCAGGATTTGAGTATTTTGTGGATAGAAAGCACAGTATCTGATGGGACAAATGCTGATATTTCATATTTTAAAAAAATAACGGTTAAGGGGAAATTTGCTATAAAATTTTACTGTAAATTATTGTGGAGTATTTGACACAAAACAAGTCTTGTCTTAAAGGATTCCTAATCAAAGTAAGATGCAACACAAGATCAAGAAAGGAACAATCTGCTCCAGATAAGGAAAGGGAGATGGATTTTCTTTTTTAAATGTTAAGGATTTAAAGACAGACAAATCTTCTGGAAGACAAAGAAGAGGCAGTGGGCCCTGGGCTGAGCAGACAAGCCCAAAGCTTAAGTGATTTCTGCTGGTTAGACACACACGGATGCGAAAAGTGCTCTGGGACAGAAGATTTGGTTTAAGAAAACTGAGCTTTAAAGACTCCTGAGGATCAAGCCCAGGGTCTCTTGGAGTGTGGCTGCAACCACCTGCCCCAGCATTTGGTGGGGGATGTGGGACAGTCCCAGCCCAGCAACTGAATCATTACTTAACTCTAAATTAAGTGTATTTCTCTTTAGATGTGTCAGATGTTTGAGTCGCTGCCAGTGCTGGAGCTTCTGCCCTGTCAACACTCCAAACCCATCAGCAGCCAGCGATCCAGGGAAACCCAGCAAAGCTAAACACGATCCTCAGGAGGCACCAATGCAGCAAAAATGCAACCAGCTGTCTCTAACCTTAAAAAGATGCATTTACTGTGTAAACAAAGGATACAATTTAAATCCCACTGATAGAAGAAGTTCACAGAGATTGATGTTATTAAGATGGACTTCTATGGAGAGCAACCAGTTAATAATTTCATTTCTGCTCTCAGACAAAAAGGAAATATGAACCAATCTTAAGACTACAAAAATCCTGCATCTTCTTATTAATGCATGATGGAAATGAACAATCTTTCCTGGAAAAGTGAGGTATGATGTGTTTTATTACAGAAAAATCCTGGCTGCTTTCACTGCAATAAATGAAAGAAAAGTTTAAAATACTTTAAAAAAAAAAACACAACAAAAAAAGACTGAAGATTTAAAGGCCTTTATGTACAAATTTATATTGTTATATATTGCATACAAAATGTGTTTGTAGGGCATACAAATGAGAACATGTTTTCATGTGAATACACACACAGCCTGATCCAAAGAAAGGAGATCTTCTCCCAGCAGACAAATTTAGAGGAACAGCAATTTTCATATAAAACAAACACAGATCTCTGGAGAAGCCTCTCACCATCATCAGATATCAAAATGTTCAGACACAGCTCCTGAGAGATGTTTCAACATAAGGAATGTGAGGGAAACAAAAGACTGAAGAATACACCTATTCTGGTATCCAGGCTCAATCTATCACATGACCTGATCTGCAAAGATGCTGTTCTACATATTTAATTAATTAAAAAAAAAAAAAAAAAAAAAAGCAAAGCCCTAACAAATGCAGAAAACTGTAACTTGATGATATGGGGAGGTTTGCTTTCTGAGGAGAAACACTATTATTTTATGGCATTTAATGGTGAATTAAATCTGTAGTGCACAAACCTCCTCAGCCAACAATTACAAGTAAGATCCCACTTGGGCTTGTGTTTAGAATTTCCAGACGTGTTGTTCTTTACCATGCAGTCAGGATGAGGAATCTTAACTCTTATCTCTAGAAAACTGCATGTTCCACAGTGAAAACCAAAAAACCAGAGTAAGAACTCAAGTGTGGGAGCAGCTCACGAGAGATGAGCAAGGGAAAGCCATCACTGCTCTGTGGTGAGGCGACATTTTGAACAGCTGGGATTCCTACAGGAACTGTGCCCAGGTGCTGCTGCTGCTCGAGGGGAAAGAGGACACACCTTTATTTCGTCTTCTGGACAGGCTGACCCTGCGTTTGATGCTGTCCGTGCCTGCAGCTGCTCCCTGCTCTGCACCACTACCTGCACTGTCCTCACTCCTCTCACTCTGCATCCTTTTCCACCTTGGGCTGCTGCCACCAGGCTCCACTTTTCCAGTCACATTTGCTGTTTCTGAGGTGTCCATGGCAAAAAGTTCCCGGGCCGCAGGGGGGTTTCCACCTCCAGGCTCGTTCCCGTCTGCCTGAGGGGCTGGGAGCAGGGCTGGGATTTCCTGCTCCTCTGGCTCGGAGTCATCATAGAGCTCCGGGGTGAAGTAAATACTCTCATCCTCATCCTCATCCTCTGCACACACGTTCAGAGCAGGGAGTGCAGCCTCCCCTCCTGCTGAAGGGCACTCTCTGCAGGGCTCAGCTGGAAGCTGCAGCTCTTCAGCAATTGGAGCCTCGGTGTTTTTAACCGAAAATTGAGTTGTTTCCAAACATGATTCTGGTCCCCTCGAGTTTCTGTTCTGCAGTTAACGATGATTGGCACTGATTTAAGCTATCAATAAGTTCACTGGGCCCATTCACACCCTCCTGTCTGCTGTTAGCTGTGGACCTGCAGCTCTCTGCCACAGGCAGAGGTGCTGAAGTCAGTGGTTTAAAGCAGGAATTCTCCTTCACAACATCACCACGAGTCCAGCCATTCATTTTTCCTGTCTCTATTTCAGTTGTCGGCATTCTGGGCGTGGAGTCCACACGTCTTCTTCTTTCTCTTCTTTCTCTTCTTCTTTCTCTTCTTTCTCTTCTTCTTCTTCTTGGTTTCACATGGGGAGAATGACTCTCCACACCAACTTTCCAGTCACCTGTGAAAAATCACAAAACATAAATTCTTTGTGTATGTTTTCCCCCCTGATTTACAGCACATCGAAATTACCACTGTTTTATCAGGTTTGCAGTCATTTACAGCACTCATTAAGAACAATACAAAGAAAAGGCCAGATATTCCAACTCTCTTTGCACGTGAATTGCCTTAATTAAATCAATGGATTAACTGGTGTATATAAAGATAGAGCACAATTGGATTGGAAATTTGTAACATTTATTATTGTACTCTTATCTTAGTCACATCTTTCTTGCCTGACACCAAGTCATAAGCTGTCCTAGAATTTAGGAATGGATAAATATTTACATGTAAAGGTGGTACTGAAGGAGATCCCATGAAAGGTGTCTCATAGCAAAAACAACAGATGTAGGTGGAACCAGGGCACTCATCTTGCAATAATGTTAATCTTGGTGTTTCTAATTTTACATTATTTTCATAGTTTTCAATGGAAAAAGAAATGAAAGTGAAAACACTTTTGACTGTACTATAAACTGATCGAGCATTATCAGTTGTTCTAAGATGGAATGACAATTAATTTCAGTCTTGAGCACAGCTCACAGACAGCTGTGAATAATTATGACTTTCCAACCAGAGCACTTGTGTAATTTTAAAAAACATTTGTTTCTTCCAAAAGAGATGCAACTTCACATTCCAAACCGCCAAGGAAGGGTTTTCCACAGCAGATGAACCTACTCTGCCTCGCTGCTGCCGTGACGTCACTCGGCTGATTTGAGCCGACGGGCGCAGCAAAATTCGCTTCCGAACCCGAATTTCGCTCCTCGCTTCTGGCAGCAACATCTGGTGACAGGTGAGCAGTTGCCTCTGGTTGAGAGCCTTGTGACAGGCCCTTGGAATTGGCAGGTGTGTGGCCAATCTGGCCGTTGTCCTGGGAGGAGCAGTCAGCACCTCCCTGGTTCCTGTGGGCGAAGGCCTGCAGGGATTGCAGGGCGCTGCCGAAGCTCCCGTGGTGCTGGATCTGCTGCCGGATCCACTTGGACAATCCTGAGGGAAAAAGAAGCGTTACTGCAAAATCACACGGGCTAGACCGACTATCTCCCATCAGTAAATGGTATCCTAATACTGTAAACATTTCTGTGTGTAGTCAGATTCACAGAAATGACAAGAAGTTGCTCATAAAAGTACAAGAACTCATTTAATAACCACAATAATTGATTTAATCCATGGTACTATTTTCATGAGTAATACTAACTTGTCCTACTTTTTCCCTTCTTTTCCTACTAAAAGACCTTTACCTTTCTCACCAGTCTTTCTTTCAGCCTCAAACTGCATTACACAAACACCATCATATTTCTTTCACTCTTGGGTGTTCATTTTGCTTGTTATCACAAAGTATTTAAAAGCAACTTAAAAATACAGGTATTTATTACCATATGAACAGGGCCTGATAAAAACTGGAATATAATGAAGCTTTTCACAGCTTGGTTTCAGTAACTCAGATATTCAGAATCACAGCTGCCCAACAGCTACAGTAGAATACAACACATTCCTGTCACACAACATGCTCCTATCAGAAAAACATTTAAAATGCTCAAATACCAGCTTGTCCAGAGCATAAAAGCTGTTTAGGTGATGTAGGAACACACAAGGGTGAAGTAAAAACCGACTTCCTTGAGTTTAGAAAGTGGTTTTGAACTCATTTAAATATTCTTTGAATAACAATTGAAAAAGGAAAAATACCAGAGAACTCGGTGAAGTTTGACATTTTAGAGAAAGGAATCCTGTGAAGTCTTGATTATTTGTGGTACCATCTGAATTACTTCTGTCTGCTTAAATAATTGAAATGCATTTTTAGTACAAACAGACCCTTCAGAGCAGTTGGACTCAACTGCAGCCGCTGAGCTCCACCTGCTGACAGCACCTCAAAACCATCTCAGCCAAGCAGGGCAGGAACAGAGATGACAAACAGTCCTAAGTACATTCTTTTCTAATTTTTAGTGCTTTGTTGAGGCAGTGTTCATGATCTGTTTTATTTCACCTGTCTTTGTTTCTGCCCAGGATAAAACCACAAACAGGAAACACTTGAATATTGAGCATTCAGTGGCTCAGTTTGTTTTCAATGGATGTATTTTGTTATGCTTTTCCTACTCACCTGCATCTGTATAACACATTTCTGTAATTTTGAGTTTTCCCTCTTTGCTACCAGTGGGAACTTTCCCAGGAGGAGTTTTGCAGCTTACCAGTGATGTATTTACTGGGGTTATTCCGGAACCGGTCATCGACCAAAATCAGAGCCCCCCAGTCGTTCCTGTGCCTTATACACCTGCAGGGGGGCAGCAAGGAGGGGGCAGATGTTACAGAATCACAGCTCATTTGTTCTCCCTTCTTAAAAGGTAGGATAAAGACTGAAAAAACAACATGTCAAAGTGTAAAAGAAATAAAACTGCACGTAGGTTTTTTAAATAACTTTGTACTTTTGGTCTCTAAAGCACAGGTTGTTCTTAACTCTCTTCAGTAAGGAAATGGATTATGCTACAGATCAAACACTGCTGAGTTCCTAATTCAGTTGTTAGAGGCTTAGAGAAATAGAAATAGTCACTTTTTGTGTGTTGATATTATTTTTAACATTACCTGGATTTCTGTACTCTCTGCCAGAAAAAAAAAATAAATTTTTTAAAATTAAAGACCAGTGGTAACATAAACGAAATATGGCAAGGAATCTGTCAGGAACAGTTCAGGGTTATTGTCCCCAGGGTGTAAGAAAGTTCCTGTACATTTTTTTGAGGATGATGTTTACAAATGTACATAAAAGCACAAGTGTCTCAGAATCAGGGCTTCAAACTGGCTCTCAAAGAAATAATTATTTATCCTGGAATCTCTCTCAGTGGCAGGAAAAGCTACCAAAAAATCTCAAAGAAACAGATTTCTGCCACTTCCAAAGAGGAATCTAAGAAATCAGACCTGCAGCAACCAGAACCACCGTGGGATTTTAATAATGTTCCTATTTCTCTCAGGTTTCTCTCTAAGCCTTCATTTACATCATCACATTTGCATTAGGTCTGACTCAAGTGAGAAGAGTCTTCCAGCTGATGTTTCTCATCTGTAAATCTTATTTCTACCTCTATATACCCATGACAGATGCGTGGCATCTAAGACAGATAGGCATGACACTTATAATCTTTATTTACATGATAAATTCTGTCGGAGAAGGATGAATTAATTCTCCCCTGTTAATAAAATCTGGGGGAATTTTTTTTTCAGCCAGCAAAGGAAGCTGCACCACTTCTCCTGAATCTGGAAAGGGAGCAGTGAGCACAGTAATTGAATTGACCTTTTGCAAAGGTCTGAAAATCCCCACTGCTATTTCTCCCTTTCAAAAATACTTGTAGGCTAAATATCAAACAACTGTGCTGAGCCCACTGAGGGTGTGAACAATTAGTGCATTTGAAAAGCCCTGAGAATTTTCTTTTGGTTTACAGGCTCAGAACTCTTTGTCTGTGTTAAGGTTTCCCTTGCTCGTCTCTCTGCACTAAAATAAAAGCAATAAAAGCTGCAACCAAAGCGAGGAGGGTTCAGTGTAAACCAAAACCTCTGAATTAAAACAACCCTCAAACGCACAACAGGCTGAAAACCAGAGAGTTGTCAAGCACAGAGCTGCTGAAGATGGAATTTCTGCAAGATGAGGTTTTTGGCCTTTTGTGTTAACAGGGAGGAATTCATCCTTAAAGATTTCACAGCATTCTACACATACATATTTTTAATGATGTTCCATTTTTCTCACCTTCCCAGGGCTTGGTTGAGAGCTCTGTAAGCTTGAATTTCATACCACTGACTCCCTGATAAAAGGCCTCTTGTACTTTTGTGCTGGTCATTGTACTTCCTCTTTAATTCCACCTAAAAGAGAAACCATAAAACATTTGGTTTATTAACCACGATGAAAATGAAACATTCCAAAAGGGTAGAACAAGCAAACATTGATTAAATAAGGGAATATCTAAAGTGTGCTTCAGGATTTCAACTCAGTATTTCTGCCTCCTAACCCACCATGGCTGGTGCCCTTCTGACAGGACTCTTAGGTGTGCTCTGTGACAGTAATTTCCACCTGATGACACAAACACCACACACTCACCCACACCCCTGCAGCAGGAGGGGTATTATTATTATTATTATTATTCAGAGAAGGAATTGAATTTATTTATTTAAAAAAAAAAACAAACCAACAAACATAAAACTACACCAAAAAGGGTCTTTCTGTTGCTCTTTTGTACAGTATTAACCTTTCTAAACTGACAAGTGAAAGGACACGCTTCAGGAGAGAAAGCAGCAGACTTCTAACCTCTTCTGACAGGTAACTTTCCACTTGCATTTGGATAAGAAATTTTGTTTTATGTACTTATGCCCTTTAAACTGCCTGTCAAATTTACAAATTCAATCTTTACAGCCAGAAAGTAAATTCAGTTTGATTTCACAGATTGAATATTTGTTCCAGTCACTCAGAATTTATTGACTGGCATGTGAGGTTTCCTCTGGAATTTTCCAAACAGAAGATGATTTCTTCTGAATGCTTTATGAACATTAAAGCCAGTCCTTGAGGAGGAATTTGGGGTTATCTGTGCACTTCTACAAATGGAAATGCTACAGAGAAATTAAGGGGAACCTGTCACTACTGAGAAAATTCACTCAGGGCTTTAAAACATAAGCAGTGACAAGATACTCCTGGATTTTGGATTTGTCTTCTGCTCCTGGGAAGTTTTATAACAGAAATTCTTCAGAATCGTTACCAGTAAGCTTATGGCCAGCTAGAATAAGTGTAGCTTTACCAGCCTCTTACTTTGCTGTTCAAACCAGTATTGGAATTATTAGAATGATTAGAATTATTAGCCCTGTGTCTTAAGCTGAAAAAATTACGGTATTTTTAATTCTGTGCACGAAGCAGCAGGAGAATGCAAAGCAAAGCAGTCTCAATGAAACCTCAGTAAAACACAGGACTTTTCCATCATTCCCACCCATGCCAGCACTCTGCAGGTGCTCAGTGCTGGTGCTGCTCCCCAGCCCCTGCTCGGGCGGTGTCACAGCCCACGAGCACGAGACGCTCCTCGCAAACTTCCCCTGCCGTTGTCGCTGCAGAGGGAAGGGTTAACAGCCACCAACCCCCCTGCTCTCTCACTGCCATGATCCCCTCTCAGGGGGAGCCCATGACAAGGTTCACGGCAGGGAGATGGGGCTGCTGACGCCGAAAGGCCAGCGCATGTCACGCTAATGCAATCAGAGTCCATTTCAGCCCGCCCAGCCATCCGCCCCGCGCCACGCCGAGCTGACAGCACACAGATGGGCAGGAGCCAGGCTCTCCTGCTAGCAACCAGCAAAGCACGGGCTAGAAGGGATTAGTTAAAATGTCAAAAGACAGCCTTTCACTTTTACCTGCTCATCCCTAAAAACACCCCGGCGGCCCGGGGGCAGCGTGGGCAGGCAGGGAGCTGCAGCACAGGGCCCCTGGCAAGCTCTGCCATCCTGTAGCTGTCACCCAGATTAGGCTTTGATCTGTCTGGGAGGTCACGGGCACATCCACATCAGCTCCCGACATTATACCTGCTAACTGCTCCTTCTCTTAATGCTTAATTACCCCCTCATCTCCCACTGGCAGCAGCTGAGAAACAGCAGCACGAAGAGAAAGGCCACGGACTAAAGGTTGGTTTGGATTTTTGAAGGCCTGGAAAGGTATTTTGAGGCAGTTTCTGTTACGATCCAAAAGAATTTCTGAGTGTGCTTTTCAATCATAATTAGCAATATCATTTTTTCTCCAGTGACAACAACATCAAACGACATTTGTTATATCAGATTTTAAGCGTTTGGAAAACCACCCAAAAAAAGTTGACTGTGGTTACATTCCTTCACAGACTTATTCAGGATTTAAGTGACATATAAATACATAAATGGATTTATACTGTGTTGACCATGGCCTGTATCATGGCACAAAGCTCAGGCTGACTCAAAAACCAAAGCTTGTCTTTGGGCCCCAAAATAACCTGCAAATTCAGACACAGAACCTGCAGCCTCTGTTGCCTTTTTCCCAACACTCCAGGCTGACCCAGATTTATTCAGAATTACCAAACAGGTGGCTGTATTTAACAGCGAGGTCTACAAATATCAATCTGATATGGACTAACTGTTCCTACAGGAAAATTCATCAGGATATTGTAAACTGATTTATCAGTGCCAGGATCGCAGTATGAAGGTTGAATAGGCTAAACCACAGTATAATTTGGTTTTTATTTAGTGCAATTTAAAGCAGCAAAGTAAACTATGCTTGGTTTTATTTCATCTGGCAATGTTTTGAGAGATTTTTTTTTAATGCATTATTTGACTTAACCAAGCCCAGCCATAATTTTCTTTTTAAAAACAAACAGTAGTAACAGTTCAGAATGTTTTTGTTTAAGGGAGGAGACAAGCCCTGACAAAGGCAACTAAAGCTGGACCTGAAGGTGGCACCTCTACACCCAGGTACAAACCATGCCCTGCTCACCAACACTCCCTGCACGAAACACAGCTCAGAAAATGGATATAAATGTTCCCTGGCATTCCACTCACTGCTTTCTCTGGGTTTATGAGGGGAAAAGGAGTAATGAAAACAAAGAGCATGGCTCACATCATCCAAAAAAATGTTTAAAAGACACATTCACCTTCAGCATCTACGAATTGCCCACGTCTGAAAAACAAGCAGGCAGAAAAAAATACCAGGTGGTCACTCCCCACTTCCACCCCCCTCCCAAAAAAAGACATAAAAATGTTTTTTGAGCAAATCTCCCATCCCAAAAATCTCCTGTGTCCACTTAAGAGTCTCCCTTCCACCTGAAACAGCAATAATTAGAATTCTCCAGGAACACACTTGCCATCTACTTTCCTCCTGTCCAATGCCAAGGAACCATAAAAGTTTCTAAGTGCAGGAAAAGTTAAGACATGAAAACCCATTCCTTTTCTTTCACATCTGACAAATTCTCCAGTAGAAGCTGCACTAAACAGGGCAGGATTTAAACTTTCCCCAGCTGACTTCAAAAGCAGGAACCACGGGGAGATTTAAGGCAAATAATGCTGATGTGAAGGCCTGGGTGAGTCCCAGAACAGGCTTCAAACATCCTCACCCTTCAGCAGAGCCCCTCAGAGCTGTGTCTGAACACAATGTCTCCATTTACAGCCCACAGGAAAGAGATCCCATGGTAGGATTTTATCTTGAAATGCTCCAAGAGCACTGTTAATACATAAACAATATGAAAGAAGAAAGGTTTAGTGGCTGTATTTTACCAAGGCCATTCTAATCACCTCAAACACCTAAATATGGTCACTAGACAAATATAACACACTTATTTTCACCTAGAAAAGCAGCATTTCCTTAAGAAACAACAACAAACCCCCCAAACTGTGAATGAGACACGATCAGTACCTTGTACTGCTCAATTATTCTGACACACACAAATAGTTCAGGTGACCCTTTGGGTCTGAAACTTTCCATGTGCACTTCAAAAATTTGCCTTCCTCGGATAACACTGAATAAAACCAGTGTTATCTGAATAAAACATCTCTGCAGAGCTGGATCTCAGGCTTGTCATATCCTGCAGATTGTTGCATGTGAGCAGGGGCTGTGGGATGACAGTGGGCACGGGTGGGATTAAACAGTGCGAGGGGAATGAAGATAACATCAAACCAGAAAATTGTAGTCACAAAAGTGGCAAATCAGAATCTCTCTATATGGGAAAATGCTGTTGATTTGTTTCCCCACAACCCAAAAGGTTAAATAGGAGCTCTGACCCCAAAAAAGCAAAGCCAAACAACCTGACCTGGGCAGTGCCAGGTCCTGGGCTGGCACAGCAGCACCTTTGCTCTGGGCAAGGCTCTGTCCCTCTGGTTTGGAACTCCCGAGGTTTGGGATGATGCTGCCCCAGTGTTCTCACTCCTAATCCCAGTGCTGGAGAGGTGGGAAGTGCTGAGCACTTCCAGAATTGTCAGCTCCAGCAGGTGGCACCTCCCAGGCAGAGGTTGTGTGGTTTAAGAACCTTCACAGCGCATCCACCACAGGCCCCTCTGCTCAGCTCGGCCTCGCAGGGACCAACGAGCAACTCGACCAAAACCCAACCCGACCCAAACTCTGCTCCCCAGAGGGAACTCAATCCATCTGCAGTGAGGCAGAAGTGAAAACAGCCCAGCAGGTTCCCCTGAGGTCCAGGAGTGTGCCTGAGCTGGGCGTGCTCCGGAGCTGCAGTGCGAGCGTTAGCTGCGGATCCCACGGCGGGAGCGTCACCGGCACAGCTCTCCACACGCTCTGACAGCCAGGGGAACACTCAAAGGTCACCCCTGCTTGCTAAGGACAAGAGAAACACGGGCAAAACCACCTGGAAACCTTCTGGTGGATGGGGGAAGTAAAGTCTGAAAGGCTCAGGGAGAGTTGGGAGGTGCTGGGTGGTTTATCCGAAGGCTTCGCTCCCGGATAAGTTTGGGATGTGATTGGTGGGGTCGATGCCAACGCCCTGCCATCAGCACACAACTGCCAGCCCCTGCTCCTGCCACCTGAACTCACGTGGGCCCACTGGATCCCACGGGATTTTCCACCTGCTCCCGCTAATTAATCAATTTTTTTCCTTAATTAACACAATTTCTATTGGATGGAAGAAGGGTGTGGGTGGCTTTGAGTTTTGACAGTCATTCTTATTGTGGAAAAGCAGGAAATGTATTTATTTATCATTTTTTACAGAGTTCTGGAATGAAGAAGAAAGTAGAAGTCTTCTATCTCTAAAATATTCTTAACTTCACGGGGTATTTTCAGACTCAACTGAAGATAAACACAACAGTGACCTTGCCACTAAATGTCATTTTCTCTACCAGTTTGCCCATATTTTTTTATTAAGAAGTGAAAATATGTTTTGAAGTGATGCAAATTAATACAGTGCAAGGGGTGTTTCTCAACTCTGGCTAAGCATCCAAGATAACAGCAATTTTCCTAGAAATCTGTCTTTTCCTAGAATACAGTAAACAAGATATGAATTATTTCAGCAGCCACTTATGTAGCATATGACTCTTTCTCCTTTCAAAGGAAAAAAAAAAGCACATAGGTTTAAATCTGCCACAAGGACTAGAAATTAAGTTCAATATTTGGAAAAATGCCATTATTCTGAAATGATAGAAATACCTCAAGTTGTTGAGCCCCGGAGAAAGGAGGAAGAAACTTCAGCCAGAGCTGCAAAATGTTTGGATCATCAGGTTACAACTAACCCTGAAAGTTGTAATTGATGTGTCCCCTCCTGTTGCTGGAGACAATAAAGCAAATATTGCCCCTGGAGCAGCCCTGGGAAATGCTCCTGGGTGATGCAAACTGGGCACTGTCACTGCACTCACCGAGTGCCTTTTCCCTGCACATCTCCTGACGTCAAAGAGTTTGACTCCTCTGCATTTCCCTCTGCATTTTGGGAAGGTTCCCCGGGCTGTTCCATGATTAACACACTCTCCTGTCCCAGGATCAGAAGCAGCTGGAGGGGTGGAAGTGCAGAGAAGCTGCCTGGGAAGGGGAGCTGGGAGCCTGCACTTCAGAGCTGCCCATTATCGACATTTCCCAGCCACTTCTCTGCTTTCAGGTCCCCAAGGTAAGAGCAGTAAATTATGGCTTGAACTAAACAAGTCACACTTGGCTCCAAAATCAGATTTTCCTACCTCCAGTTTCAGGTCCCAGAGGTGGGCAGAGGAAATCCTGGTCACAGCCAAAGGAGTCTTTTTTGGCTCAGAAATAAATTTTCCTGCTCTCCTCGAGCCAAATCCTACCACTGAGAGCACCAGAGCTTCAAGCAGTACTTGAACATTTCTTTTATATTATTTTGGTTTAGCAACCTGATTCTCCAGCAATATGAAACTGTTTTAATAACACAGAATTAGGGGTTTGGCCTCTTTCTTACATCAGTGTTGTTTATTGTCTAGTACAGTTCTGAGCCTTAATCATTCCTTCCTCCCCAACACTGACAAAGTGGTTTAGACTCTTCTTTTTGTCAAAACCTAAAGCCTGAAACGTTGATGTGAAATTCAAATTATTCTCTTTTAAAGCCTCTACAGAAATTACTGCAAGTTATAAAAGCCTTTAAGTTCCTTAAAGAATCCAAACGTTTGCCATTTAATCCCAGGGCTTGTGGCACATATTTAGCCCAAACATGTGGAGAAACTAAATTTGGACATCATACATCACACTTGACGATGACTTTCTTGCCCAAGACTGATGTCTGGATCCAAAATGCTACACTTTAAAACCCCTAACAGGAGTTAATTAACAGGATGTCAGCATCAGATAACATGTCTGTGGGATTCCACATCTCCTTCTGCCACGTTATTTATGTGCTCTAATATTACAGTTCGCTGGTATTCAGTCAAGTTACAAACCATAAAACATATTTAGAAAGCAGGTTGATCACAGACAAGTCCCATTAGTGGAGATGAGCCAACATCAAACTGCCAGCATGAAATATTGGTCTCCAAAGGTCCCATTCTCCAAGCCTCTTCTGGTTGTGCACAGTCCTGCAAGCATTAAAGGGATTACTCACACAAGTCAGGGCTCTGTGCAGAGTAAGGGGTTATGGAATTGAGGCTTAAAGGACTTTTGCTAACCCAAAAAGCAGACATTCAGGTGTGTTTTCACGTAGAAGCTGAGCAATTTGAGTGACTTAAAGCAATCCCAGCAGTCTGTAATGCCTGCCCATTGCAAAGGAATTGTTAATCACCTGCATTTCCTATTTTTAAAGGGATGTCATCATTAATCAGTTGGGTCCATCTGCCCAGCACCTCTTGCTGTGGAGGAGCCACACAAGGACCTTGTTCCCAGCTGTTCTGGGGGAGTCCAACCTGACCTGTGCCCCTGGGGTTTGAAATTCAAGGTTGGAAACTCAAGGTGCTCCCCAGCCATCCCAGAGTTCAGCCAGTTTTCTGGAGAGCCCCCAAGAACCAGCTGTGCCACAACAGCAAATGCTGTAGCAATCCTGTAAACTTCCACTGCTTCATTTGGCAAATCCCACTCCTTTCTGAGCTGACACACTGCTGAAAAGCATGTTCAATCTTCCAAATCCCTTCTGTATCTGTGCTCCTGTTTCTAAAAAACTACTAATTCATCTTATTCCTTCACTCCCATCCTTCTGCAACTCAGCTGAGAAATGTGCATCAATCCCGAATTTTTAGAGGTATCTGATAAACCCAAAGCCTCGGGCAGAACAAAACACTGTTCAGTTTAAAGACACATTGCCAATAAAACCATTTCCCTGAGCATTCTGCTAAAGGAGCAGCAAATGTGGTGCTGAGAGCCTGGTGCCTGCCCTTCTCTCATCCACAATTGATCAGTGCAGGGCTTTGTGCATTCCCAGCCCTAAATGCACACACTCAAACCTTCAGTGCTTGCAGTTTGGCAGCGACTCTTTCTATCCCTGCTGAAAAATTTAGAGGTTGTCTTCAGCCTAATTACGAACAACAATTCAACACAACAGTGATTTTTAAAGTACAGTCACCAGAAATGGGCTGTACTGCCTGTGAGTCTGTTGGATGAAATACCTGGTTGAACTCAAGGTAAAATCAAATACAGTATTTTGATCTCAAGGAACATAATCCACGGTGAAGATAATTCACCCTTGGCATGTTCTTTTCAATCTAATTTTGTATCATTTAGAAACCAAAACCACTGACTTTCAGGAAATCATTTGGAATTAATTGTAACATTTCAGCCCTACTACAGACCAAGGATTTCCAAAATATGTCAGCATATGCTCCTAAAACACAGGAATTTCCAACTTTTAGAAGGAGTGCTGATATTCTTTGAATGTCAGTGTTTTTATACTCCAGTGCAGGGTATTATATTTTAGTGAGACAAAAGCTGTTGTGGCTGAGTGAGTGCTCCAAGGAATTCTGCAAACACTGGGAGGGTGTTGCCCTGGGCAGCCACCACTCACACAACCCTCCAGGTCCTCGTAGGATGTGGGTTTTTCCCAGCAAGGCTGGAATTAGGCAGCACTGCAGACAACAAAGAACCCTTTGGTTGCTCCCTGAAGCTCAGAACACATCTCTCAAACCAAAGCTGAGGCTGGTTGGGCTCTCAAGTGCAAACCTACGATTTTCTTGTTTGATTTGGCACCCCTCAGAACCAGAATCCAGTTGCTCCTGGTATTTATTTATTCTGTGATACTTCACTTTGTTTCTTGGCTTCACGAAACAATCCCCCAAAGCTCTAAAAGGAACACTGAGCTGGAGCAGTGACAGTGCCTGTGATCACCCATCAGCAGCTGGGTGACACGTGGCTTGCACAGACCACTGACAGCCAGTGCTGTTGCAAGCTAGCCAGTAATAAATGTTCTTTCTCAGCGAGTACAAAGTCTAGCAAAACACTTTTCCACATTCACTGGCTTTCTTTTCCTTGCTGAATGCCTGGCTTTGACCATGAAGTGCCTACTCTAATGGAACATCATCTGCCCATCACACTCTCAAGTCCAAAGGAAGGAAGTGTTGATGTTGGGCAATTACACAGCAGTGCAACAGGATGCTGCTTTCACCACCTACTGACAAACACAAATAGTTACTAATTTATTTCACTGGAGGCCTTCCCAAATACTATTTTTAGAAGGCACTTACAAGTTTTTGCCTAAAGTTACACGAAGCTTGAATTTTCCAAATCGTCCCCTCCTCAGTGTCCAGGAAGGGTTTATGTCCTGTCATAAATTCAGGCCTCAAAACTGCAAGCTAATAAAGCTGCAACAGCTTGGAAAAGGTTTGCAGTTCCACTCTCTGTGTAAGTGGGACACACATTGACACTAAAGTTACACTAAAGGCAGCAGGGATTAGAAAGGTGATGTGTTACAATTAATAATGACCTAGTGTGTGACATACATTATTATTTTACAGGATAACTACCTTTATCTTTCCACCTCTTTTCTGAAATAACCTGCCTTATTTCAAGCAGGATTCTCCTAGCATTTGTCCCAGACCTTCATACAAACACCCCACCACAGGAAGTCAGGCAGTCCCTTCACTTCTAAACCAACACCACGCATTTCAGGGCACCAAAACAGGCAAGTGCAGATGGAAACGAGTTCAGCTGCTTGGCAGGGCAGGAAGCTAAGGAGCATTTTAACAATGCAACAGCCCTCACTGGCCATGTCAGACAAAGAGTGCCATCTGCATGATGTGTGTTTATTTGGGGTGACAGAAATGAGTCCACAGGCACCCTGTGCTGCTCCTCCCCTTACCTGCACTGGGGTAACTCAGAGAATCCAAAGGGGACTGACAGAAGTGCGAGGGCCAACAGAGAGAAAAACCCTTTTGTGCACATCTGGTGTTTTAAACACGACCTCAACCCCCAGCACAAGTGTGAATTGGCGTCCCACCTGCAGGTCCTTGACGTTGGGGAAGGGGATGCCGATGGTCACCACGGCCCGGGCGTTCTCGTCGCAGAAGTCCAGCCCCTCGCTGACCTTGCCCCTGCACACGGCGATGAGCAGAGCCCCATCTGCAACGAGCCAGGCACAGCTCACCACCACTGCCAGGGGAATGAGCACCAGAGGGAAGCTACACCAGAATCTGTTACACAGCTGCACACAGTACATCACAGCACCCTGGGTGTCAGCTGCACACAGTACATCACAGCACCCTGGGTGTCAGCCTGGCAAGGGTGAGCAGATATAGAAGTGGATGTTTCTTAGAGGGACAGGATTAACTCCCCCCTGATCAATGATTTTGACTATCAACTAGCAAAATAATGTTACACTATATAATAGGGTAATTTTCCACTATATAATGGAATGGTAATTAATTATGCAAGAACAACGTGTGTATCTCCAACAAAATTTTAAATGTCAAACCTTGAATGTTGCACTCTGTTTTTTACACGCTGTTTTTCTTTATTCTCTAGATTAACACTGAAGTGTTTTGAGAAAAAATCCTATAGTAATTGGAATATATGGTTATTTAATATAAGACTGATTAATTTCAATCCCAGTTATACAATGTACTGTAACTGGTCCTTTGAGAAGTCCCTCTGTACCTGCACACCCTTACACACCTCTCTGGGCTTAGACATCACCCTCTACTTCCCTCTACCCCCAATATCCTCATGCCACAATATAAACAGCAGTGAATATAAATACTGTGCCTCATTTATAATAACTTACTAAACTGCAGTTAATATAACTACTTACCCATATCTTTTTCTAACTGTTAAGCACTTAAAAGAAGTTTCTTTCACCTTGAAGAGCCTGTATCAGCTATTTGTGTCTGCAGGACGTACCTTTTCCTCCTTTACACTTGATTGCATCATAGTAAATGCTGAGCAGCTCATCAAAGTCACTCTTTGCCCCTCCCTGAGGCTCTGCAATCACTGTCTTCACCAGCTCCAGTTTCTTCCACAAGCCAGTGTGAATCCAGCGGTCCTTCAGCTTGTCCAGCATCTGAAAACAAGCACCAAAATCCACACCAATCACTCCAACTGTTCCAACAAAGCAAACAGAGCCCCTCGTTTTAGTGAAGCTCCATTGTTCAGTTTTTGTCTCTGTAAATGCAAGTTTTCCTGCCACACACCAAGCTCAGCCAGGCAGCACCTGGGAAACACGGGGGGCACTAACTGTGCTGATTAGAAATGAGGCAGATTTTTGTTATCAAAGCAAAACTCTCTGAATATCTAAGAGTGGACATTAAAGAGCATCTTCTGGTATTGCAGAAGGAATGCCACCCAAAGGGAAATTGCCAACTAAGAGATCCATAAGGAAGGCTGGAAACAAATCCTAACTTACTTTGAAACAATCCCTTGTATCTTAAATTTCCAGACACTTCAATATTTTCAAACTGACATAGAGAAGTTGGGTGAGGAAATATCAATGCAGGATTTACCAACAGCCTCCTCTGCTTCCTGAACTGTGCACATTTCACTCCAAAGCAGAACATACTCAGATCTTGCAGGAAAACGAGCTTGGTCCACATTTAATTGAACTCCTCCACCTGGAACAGGCACTTGCCCCAGTTTATTCCTCAAAAAGCCACAGTATCCCTCAACTCCAGCCCACTCGCCTTTCCAGTGCACTCCAGCCAAGATCTTGGGATTTGGAATGGTTAAACTGTTACAAAATTAATCTGTCCCACCCAAACACACAGTGTAAGTGCTACAGTAAAGCAGAATTAATTGTAAGTAATTGTTGTCACCTCTGGGTTTACAGAGAGAACACCTGCAAATTCCCAGGACATTTTCCATACTGCACATCCTCAGCATTAACCACCTGAACTCATTCCCTGACACTGACATTTTGAACTGGTTCTTTTTGAGGCACGTGAGGGGACAAATCCTCCGTTATTCCTGCATTCCCCTGGCTTTGTTGCAGCCCCTGCTCAGGGAATGACACCTGCTTTGCTCCTGATGTGACACCATCAACAAGCACAGAGTAAGTGCTGAGCAGCAGGACCAGTTTCCCCACACAGACATAACTGCAGAATAAATCAGCTCTGCTAACATCTGTCCTACTGTTTGGCCCCTTCTCCACCAGCTCTGTCATTTCCTGGCACATGCTGTAATCTCTTTTTCTGGAACAGGGTGTAATCCTGTGACAGAGCAATGAGTGTCCATCTCCCAGCCCAGGCTGCCACCGCAGTTCTGGGATGTGACACGGGGAGAATTCTGGTAAATTAAAAATCAGACCTGTTATGGCTCAAAGAACATCCATTTGGGACATCATCAGCTTTCCAGATTTCTGTGAAACTGGTGCTGCCTGGGCACCCCCTCAGCATTCCACGATAAACCCACTGCTGGCACTGCCTGCCACGGATGGAAAAGGAGCCCAGGAAGGGAACACAGACAGGAGATATCTGGGTAAAACTGAATTCCACATTTACAGACACAAAACCATCCCTGCTTCGACTTCCAAGGGTCACCCATCCCTGATTTCCTCCTGTCAATCATCACACCTACTGAAATCCATGGGTACTTCTCCCAAACACACCCCTGTGCTCTTGGCAGAGGAATTCTTGCTTAATTTAAGGGAACCAAAACTCATTGACAGTCTCTGAAAGGGGGCAAGATTCCTTACAAAACCCCTCCATTCCACTGTGCTTCTCTCACATCTCAAAGAATCACAACTTCTATTCACAGCTGCAAAGATGGCAGAAGGAAACCTTAATCCATGGTCTTAAGAAATCATCTTTTCTCCTCCGTGGGTCACCCAGCCCTTCCAGGCAAGGATCTCTTGGAGCACTTGTAGGTTCAGCTTGGTTTAATTGACACAACCACCCCAACAAGAAAACCTCCCATTTTTGATGGAAATGAGTGAATTATTCACGACAACCTTTGGCGAGGACGGAGCAGTTCATTTAATTCACACCCCAGCTATTACCTCTTCCATTAATGGGCTTTGTTGGATATGGAAACTTTCTTGCAGGCAGGAAAATATCCACAAACACACAGTGCCCATGGCATGGCCAGGCACTGAAACAACAGCAACGATGGAGCTGACTGAATACAAATAAATAAAATATACAACACACACACTGCCTGGGCCCTGCAAGGAATCAAGGGCAGGTTTCTGATAAAAAACTCTTTCACTTTGGGTTGAAAAAGTGCAAATGGGAGCAAGAGATAATGCCAGGAAATCACAGCAAGCAACCATTAATGCCCCCAGGCAGTCACTTCTTCTACCCAAGGGAATAATAGTTCCTGCACTGGAAGGCAGGCTGGGTATATTTTATTAAATCCCTTAAAAATGGATTCTCAAATGGTTTATTAACAAATGGTCTTCCTCCAGGAGAGCAGAAAATCTTGTTAGAAGGAATCTGTCATCTGCCCAGGCACTGAAGGATGTTGACTTGGATAGCTTTTCCCTTTGATTCCTGGCTGCAATTTACAGACACCTGTAAGCCACCATCCAGAAAAAGCAGCTCAGGATTTAGCTTGGCCATCCATCCCTGTCAGCACCCCCTGCTGAAGCAGTTCTGGAAGTATTCCTGAAGTTTGGGAGTGGGGGAAGTGTTTTCCCACCATCTTTTGCCATTGTGCACCCACCACTAAATTTCTTTGCACGAAATATTGCTTGAATATTTTAGTGGTGAGTCACTTCATGAGTGGATTGCACCTTGCCAGCAGAGTAAAAAAAAGGTGTCACAGAGAGAATCCCTCCATCAAAAGTGCTTGGGGGGACAACAAAAACCTTGAAAATATGACAGGATGTTCTAGAGTAATACAGAAAATAAAAGATAATGACCCTGAGAGCAGAGTAAAATAACTCTGGCTGTATTGGTTAGTTTAACAGCTATTAACTACTGATGATAATTATCAGTTACAGTTCCACTGTATGTGCCTGTATACCTTTAAAAAATATATATTTGCCTTGTTATTTATCCAATAACTGAACAAAAGGTATTTCAAGGTGAACAAAACTTCCACAGAAACCTTGTGACCCTTTCAAAATCTACCATTATACACTAAAAACAAACACTTCTCCAGACTTGGCTGGTTTTTCATCTTGTTTCTGTGTGATGATACCAAGTCCCACTTTTCACTGTTCTTCAAATATTCAGGCAGTTGAGGGCAGAAAAGGAGCAGCCATCAAGTTTTCCTTACTAAAACTTCCAGCATTGGCACCACTGATGGTGCAAAAAGTCAGGGATGCCCCTGGGAGCAGCACTGATCTAAAAGCCTTTCCCAAGCAGCTCTTGCTGGGTGTGCTCCTGGGATTTTCCCTGGGAATGAGCCCTGGCTCCACATCCCAGAGTGTCTCCAGCGGGCTGGGAACGTGGCTGAAGGGTCAGACTGAAGTTCCCCAGGCAGCACAAAACTTTAGGGCTGGAAAAGAGCTGCTCTACCAACCTGCTCTGATGGGATCAGGATCTTTAACTGTCAATTAATAGCCATTAACTCACCCAAACTCTCCACTGGCAGGACAGGCCCTGAGGAGGAGCTGGGGCAGCTTTAGAAACAGCTGAGATCTCATAATACAAACATTTTCCCTTCAGTGGGAATAAAAGGATGAAGGAACAAGGAAAAACTGCCTGGGATGATTGGTGTGAGAGGAAAAGGCTGAGTTTCTTTCCAAAAATAGGAGGGAAAATATTTGGGCTAACTGAGCAATGAAATCTAACATCCATTGGGCAAATCTTTCAAATAAATTTGGAACAGCACTCTAGAACTATAAAAATCAACACTAAAAATCACCACGTCCCTTAACAAGAGGGAAAGGTCCCAGGGATGAAGAGCAAGCAACGAAACCCAATCACCTTTATCAACATCACCAAAACCATCCCACCCTCTCAGAAGGACTGAGAATGGGCCATGAGGCATTTCCCAAACTGGCAGAAATAATTGACACTTCCTCTTTTTTCCCTTCCCAATCAGTCCCTCCCACTTTTTCTGGAGGTCATTTTAATCACATTCCTCACAAAAAAAAAAATAACCTGGGCCCTTGAATTATTGAAGGCCTTGTTCTCACTCAATTAGATTTTCCTGAAAGGTTAAGCCCCTCCTTGTGTTGGTGGCACAAGAAAAGGAGGTATTTAAGTGTCACCCATTTGAATCCTAATGTATCTTTCCACACACACAAAAAAAGAGTATTTCAAGTTTTAAATCTGTTTTCTCCATTTCTAATTCAAACACATTTCGTTTAAAGAGAACATGGAAATGTCTGTGCCCAAACAGTTCGGGTTTGAAGTCAAATTTACTTCCAGAATAAAGAATTAAATTCCCACTGTTCATGGGAAGCTGGAGGGAAACACCAAGTGTCCATATAAATATCCATTCACAGGTAACCTTTCCTTTATGTGCCAACAGTAAATTGATTTAGTGCAGCATTTTAATGGCAAAAGGCCACACAAAAATGTTGTTCTTATCAAGGACAGGCTACACCTGCCTTGTACTGCACATTTCCCAAGTATTTATTATCATTTATTATCATTTATTATCAGCCTGGCTTCCAGAGCACCAACTCCAGGGGAATTGCTGCCTGATTTCCTTTCCCAAAGTGTCCCAGAGCCTCTGGAATCAAATGCTCCAAGACAGTAAAAGAGAAAAGAGTAAAGAAAAAAGAAATTATTCAATATTTTTTCTGGAAATTGTAATTAAAGAATACAGGGAACACAAGACCTTCAGGGAGCTGGAGTCCTGTGTTTAAGGAATATGAAGACCAGGAAACACAGAGAGGAATTTTCATGTGGAAAGAAGGCAGAAAAGGCCTGAAATAAAAGGAGATCTTGGGGAGGAACGAGCCCAGAACGTCTGTTCAGGTCAGTCCAACTGCCAGGGGAAAACAAACACCCCTCGTGTTTTCCAGCATTCTCTCATCAGTTGGTCAGGAGGATTTTCTGAGGAGTATTTATTGGAAAACCTTCAGCTGCCCTGAGATGGAACTGAAGGAGCTGTGGAGGCACCTCACGTCACACATTTACCTGATATCTTCCATTTACAGAGCTATGAGGG